ATCAAGTCCAGAGCAACACATGTCTCTGATCAAGTCCAGCCTGCGTCATCAGTTAGTAAACTCCAGGCTCCAGGAAAACCAACAGAGAGCACATTCATAGCCGGCGACCCTGTGACTGAGTGTGTGATTCATTACTTTTTAATATGCTCCTTCAAACCCCCCATCCCCTAACCCACCAAACCACTTCTCCAATCCGGCCGAGGGGTAACTCCACAGTCTGATCGAATCTATCATTAAGCATACTTGTGGTGTTACCGCTGTTGGTCTTGTTTAGTAGATGCGATGGAGGAATTAGCTCGACAACCTGAAGTTTGCATCTCAAGAGTGAAACAGCATCACTCAGCAAGCTTTTCTTGGCAAACAAACTCCCATCAAATTTAAAATGTTAACTCAAACCATTGTAGAGGGAGATAGGGCAGTAAACTCCTTGGAGGAGGCCAAAGGAATAATATATGAGATAAGAGGAGTCTAGCGTGTGTGTCTCTTAAAACTGAGCAGCAAATCTATTCTGAAGAATAAATTAGAAGGATGACTTTGTTTCCGATCACTCACATTACCGAGGTCAAGGTTTACAATGTTTCCCTTTAAATGTCCCACACACAGTTAGATTACAGACTTAAACTTCACTCTTTGTTTGGGTTTTTATGTGATAATCAACACAAATTAATCTGTGAAATAGAAGGAAAGCAATGCACGATTTACAAAGGTTTTAAGAAATAGAAATCTGAAGAGTTTGCCTGAAAAGCATTCAGGAGACACTTTATTATTAAATAGACAAGTGTGTGTTCTCAGAGTAAACCCAGCTTCTCTGTGAAGGCATCCCAGGGTCTGTTAGGGAGTGATGGTGAGCAATCAGTTTCATGCAGATCATATATTATAGCACACAGACCAGAGAAATTAAAAAATATGGAAGCAAGAGGTTAACGGTAGCTCAAATGCTAGTCATTCACTCCAACAGCTACATAAAAAGCCTGAATAAAGGCCAGAGCTCCTGTTTGCATCTTACTGCAAACCCTGTATGGGGCCCAGGAACATGCAGAAAAGGTGCTATGAACAGGGACCAAAAAATACCTTTTTGCAGACATCCAATGGATGGAAGAAAACCAATACAGCAATTCAACTTGAACATCTATGGCCCCAACAGAGAAAAGTAGTGGCAGCATCATGCTGTGGGAAAGGATTTCATCATGGTGGGAAGCTGACCATTATTTATTGAGAAGATGGCTAAATTACCAAAAGGCTTTAGACTGAAGATGAGCATCAAGCATGGCAGCAATCAAATTGAGAATCAGTCTAAAGATTTGAAAGCTGATGTTCACAGCTGCTCTCTGTCCACTCTGACAAAGCTTGACCCACTTTGCCAAAAAAAAAACAAAACAATTTCTGCTTCTCTAGATGTGCAGTTGGTAGCGATACAGCTTAAGACTTGTACTGTAAATGCAGCAAAATAGGAGTTTAATTGGTAAAACTACATTTGAAATCAGGGTTTTATTGACAAATACAAAAGAGAAAATGTTCCCTCGTTATCACTGTTACTAAGACACATCAGCTGTTTAGGTTTATCCACCAGACATGCTCAACTTGCAGGCAAGAGACCATAACAATTAGTAAAATCACTTCTGACCCTCAGATGACAGTCATATGAAGGGGCAATGCTATGGTTCATTCTTCCTGCAATAAAAATCAGACGTAACAACGGCCTGCAGCTGGAGTCCAGGCTTTTCCTGGGAGTACCCTCACCAGGCCTCAAGTATCATGAGTGCAGATGACTCCTGTTTATGAGATGCTGACAGCTCCTTCCTGTCTCACAGATCATGAGCCCTGACTGCTGCTGCCCTGAAGGACACTTTTTAGTTTCTGGTCACTCAGCTCCACCCTAAAACCTAGGCAGGAGGAGCAGTTCCTGGTGGGATGACTGTGAAGACGAGGGAGGAACACAGCGCTGGTCGTGCAGCAGCAGTTTGAGCACTTGATCTCTCCAGCTCCTCAACTCAGAGATGCTTTTTTTTTTTAGGCTAAAGTAGGCCAGTGTAAACTCCCACTTCCTGCCGGCTCTGTCTCACAGGGGGAGAGATGATCCTCCTGTGAAGAGAGAAAAGGCTGCTGCTCTGTAGGGACCGTTTCCACTTATAACACACACACACAAATAGAAATACAGCCACGGAGACAACCAGAGAGTGAGTGGGAGAGCGAGCGAGCGAGGAATACACAAACACAGTGGGGTTCAGGAATGTTAAACACATGCTTTATGGCATAAATAGCAGCCACTTTTGGTAAATTACAGTGAGTGCTTTGGCACTGTAAAGCACCCAGCAGGAAAACGCTCTCAGATTTCAGATCCAGGCCCTGCACTCTCCCCAGGGGACAGAAAAAGGAGCATGTTGTGTTTTTAGTTCTGTGTAAGAAGTCAGAATAAGTACAACTCTTTGCAGTTAGTTAAGTTTTTTTAGTTAACACTGAACATATCAGAAAATTGAAATCAAAGCATATCCTGATCAGATCATGCTTACAGAAATTAGACTTAAAGAAGTGTTGCTGTTTTACTAACAAAGTTGACACCCTTACCCCAGGACATCACAGCTTACATCACCAGTATAGTCCTGAACAACAGCTGAGCTTTTATTAGCTTTTCCCCAAAAGTATCTTGGGTAAATTATGTGAGACCAAAAGGAAAAAAACCCATGTTACTTTCGAGTTTAGTTCACCTTTTTCCAAAGATTTCTTTTTTTAATCTAGGGAGGGGCTAGTATCTGCTATCAAAATCATTTTTTATAATTTTATGCTGTTTCTACAGTTCAAAGTCATAATAAAACCCCCAAAAGGTCCCTGGTAAACTAAACGCTATGATACAAAGAGGAAACCTTCCCACATTCTTCACTTTGGACTGCCAGTCAGTTGGATGAAAAGAAAATGCTACTTTTCCTTTGCCTCCAAAAACGACATGTTTGGCTTTATGGAAATATTTCCAGACTCAAAAACCACAGATGGTGATCATGGTGTGGGAAATAGCCTTTCATTTTTTTCTAAAGCTACAGTTGCCAAACAGCAATATGCATGTCTATGAAGCAGCTGACTCTTCTCCACCTGATTGATTCAGGTCACCAGCTAAATTATAAACTGTTGTATTTGTTTAACACTGCACAAAATTAACACATGGAAACTACCCCTGATTTAGGCAAGTTTTTTTTGTTGTTTTTTTTTAAGTCTATATAATATATAGATATTATCTAAATCAACAATAAATTAGATTTTAATTAGCTGAGGATGATGTCAGGCTAGTTCAAAGTCATCTAGTGCCACGGTGCAAAACTGCTGGACATTTGATGTAGAAGCAAATCACTTGGATTATTAAAAAAAAAAAGTTTTGATATAACTCTCTGCTCAATAAGTGAAATATTTTTAGTAACCACACACAGGCTGGTTTTTACAAACCTTTGTTACTGTTAACAATGATCATTTTCTACCAACAGCCAATAAAAATGAAAACAAAATATGATCACATTATTCATCATCTACGTAGACAGTAAAAACATTTGTAATACAGAAATGTGGCTTTAATCACAAGTTAAATGAAAACCTGCTTAGAAAAGACACATTTCTGACAAACTGGCCTCATCAAAACCCATTTTGAAATTTTTATTGTGTGACTATGTTCACTATGATTTTATTTTACTACATGAACTCGTTTTGAACAGCAACATGTTCACCAATAGTTTGAGATAAAAATAATCAGATGTTCTTAGTTTACACAGATGCTTCTTTACTATTTATGACCAAAACCCTTTTAGATAATGGAAATTGGGAGCTGCACAGTGAGCTCTGAGTTGACCAATCAGAAGTCAGGCATGAGCAGGAGTTCTTATAAACCTGGTATGCAACTATAAACATGAGGACTTTAATAATCACCAAATTATGACATAAGGAATCGATAAGTAAAATCAAAAGTGAGGGAAAACATGCTCATGTTTGGGAATCTACAGCAAATTAAATTCAAAGCAGAGTATTAAGGCTTTCTTGCAGAAAATCCACTTTATGTGTGGCACTGTCACGGACATCATTAATGGGTTTGTTAACTTGGACATGATTACAATACCAGTGCAGGCCACTAATGAAATGTGTTACTTTACCGCATTGTAAAGCTACATTTTTAAGCCCATACTTCTTTACTTCAGTGTACTATCAGATTTTTTATTTTTTTTCCTGACTCAGTCATAAGACCCCTACGGGGTCCCAGTCCCGGCCTAAACATTCCCATTTGAAGCAGGTTTATATAAAGAGACTGTTGAAGCCATCCTGTGGGCTAGTTGTGAGGACATTTCCCTGACTCAGAAGGAAACCAGGAACGATGCTGTGGAACAGTTTACCTCACTCCACACTGGCCTCGGCTGGGGCTCAGCCCACGCACGGCGACTGACTTGACAGGCAGAGTGACTAGTAGCTTCACTTACGGACTGAGAATGGAGGAGCCATGGGAATCTAAAGCGCCAGACTTTGACTCACTGTCTGGGAATATATATGTTGTGCTCTCAGTGAGAGCGAAAAAAAAAAAACACTCACCAAGCACTGATACAATATAGCTGACTACAATTCCACATTAGGGTCGTTTCAGGAGGGCTTGATCAAAATGATTTAGTTTCTCTAGATTCCTGACACTGATCTAAACAGCGCTTAACTAGAACTTGCACCTGTAATTCTCACATTTGCACATCCTGCAATGTTTACACAGCCACAGAAGTAGAAGTAGATGGCAGGTGGAAACTGGAAGCAGATGCATTCAGTTCTTCCTACCAATCACAGCATGTTGCTCACCTGCTTCTGTAACATCTCTTCAGCTCAGCCAGTTTACTCCCCACTGCTAATTATTCTCCCGGTTAATGATCAAACATTTATGAATCTGTCCTACAACTTTACTGGCTTTAAGCCAAAGAAAGATATCTTTTAGACTATTGTTATCAATCTGTGAGCCAAAAATAACTAAACAACGCTTGTTTTTATAAACATAAATTACTTTATTGAATGAAAATGCATCATTTAAGGCATACAGGAATTGAAGGTGAACACACAGCAAAGTAAAAAAAAAAATTAACACATCATCTTTACATTGCACTAAAAATACAGCTGTAAAATATTTAAGAATGCTAGAAATTCATTTACGTATGGTCCATTTTACATGGCTTTCATCACATGTCAGGCAACCATGTTTCCATGGTGTAAACTGATTACATCTTTGGTCCCCGCCTTCTGGCAGTTCTTACTTTAACTAATTCTCTGTTAATACTGAAATCAGGATTTAAAACCACGTGAGGTAAAAAAAGGCACACTTTGGTTGCATGAATAATACAATTTCAAGGCACATTCATTTTAGTCATATGGCTTTGGGTGATATCGTTAACACTGTAGTAACCTTGAGTGCATGGCTTTCATTTTTATACATGTTTGCAGGAGACACACTGACTTTTTTATTGGAAAACAGCAGAATGGCTTTTCCTATCACTGAAACCCATCGGATTAAAGCAAAGGTTCTGGTTTAAGTCAAAACAGAGGCTTACAATGATCCACATCGGCATAGGAATAAAAAAAACAAATAAACTGGTTCCATTCTTCTGTGATGACATACTTCCTCTTTTTCCTTAAGTAAACCAAGGGTATTGGAAGTCACCTGCTATCAGCTAGTGAAGGTCATGGCTGTAGCACCTGTTAGCACCTCGTCTATCTGCACCACAGTACCAGGGACAGCTGTGTGCATTTGCTTTTGTGTGTGCACTTTCAGACGCGCCAAGGGATTTATCCCACCCACGCACCCCTACCTCTGAGCAGCTGCATCTCTGCCATGATCCTGAGCTGACCGGCACCACGAAGAAGATGGGAGACGACTTCTTCATCCAATGAATTCATGGTATTTGTTGTTTGGAATGGGCACACATAGCAAGAAAGGCACTTAACTCGAGTGAGTTTTGTTCAGTTCAAATGGTCCAGCCTCAAAAACACAGTCAAAAATAGAAGATATTTAAAAAAAAACTGCTTCTCAACTGTTTTACAAGGGAACAGAGAACCAAACAAAATGCTTGTAAGTTAGATCCGCAGTGAGAGCTGATTCCCTCCAGGTCTCTTAAATCAGGCAGTTTTGTGATCTTTGTGGCATTTTAAACAATCTGAAAGGGCTTCACATGTTTTCCATGTCACTGAGCTCCTGGTGGCTCTTCTCCTCGCCCCTTGTGGTGCCTCATCCCAAATTGGAGCAGCACCCTGATGAGCTGTGTTTCTGCAGCAGGGACATGCGGCTGAAGGTGCGTGAGCAGACGCTGCATTGGTACTTCTTTACCTCAGCGTGGGTCTGCAGGTGGGCCCTCAGATTGGAACGGTCCGCAAAAGCTCGGTTGCAGTGGGGGCACGAGAATGGGCGCTCGCCTAGACAGAGAGGGACGGAGAGGGGTTGAATTTAAAACATTTGAAACACAACATAAACCAATGAAATCACAGCTTGAGTTATGGATATGTTTATCAAAGGACAAAGCTTCAGTTCTCAGTGCTACTGCCATTAGACAATTTGGACTAAAGGTGATTGGAGGAAGAAGGAACTTCTGTTGATGCACATGAGTCCGACATGTTAGATGGATTCAAAGGTGTGTGCAAACCAAATTAATTTTATGAAGGTGCTAGGGAGTGAGACCAGAAAGAAAAGAATTGCAAGAATCAATAAGGTAGCTGACCAGGCAGTAAACAGGCAAGGTGGTGGACTTTGGTTTCAAAGAGAGACAGAGACAACTTAGATTATATTGGGTGGATTTGAGAAGACTGGATGGTGTTAATTATGTGATAATTGTGAGATAGCTTTCCACACATCTAGACTTTTTAACCTCTTGGGAAGGGACATTTTGTAATTGTTGATCACTGGAATCAGCTGACTTTACGCAATGAGCGTATAAAGTGAGTTAAAATTGTCGAGGTGGGAAGAATTTTGATGAGATGAAGGATGTCATGCGCATAGCATTGAAAATTAATGATTAAAATGATGAAAGATATAATGTGTTGAGGGTAGAAAAATTTAAATATGTATTAAAAAAGGAGATGCTGAGGACAAAACCTTGAGGAACATCAGTAGAAATAGAAATAGTTCTTATTTAAAGGTTTTTGTCTAAATGTGCTGGCTGTGAGAGTGGCACTCTGTTCATCGACTGACATCAACACAGATATCTTGCAAGGTGATGACAATAGTCCTCCTCAAAAAGTGACTGGATTATATTGAATGCAGCTTTCTATTAACACCTCAAACAAAAGCCAACAGAAACACATGAATAAACACAGACACATTGTAAAGATAATGAGGATCACATGGCTGGGCTGCTGGGGTCAGAGCTTGACTGAATTAGCATGATTCAATCAGGCCCAAATGAGATTAAGAAGCTAACAAGTTTCTGCAGGTACTAAGTACTCAGTGATAGCAGTGAGCCTTCAGGCATTCCTTAAACCTTTTGTCCCTATTCTGTCTCCACTCAGGTGCCCCCACCCCCCCAGCAGCCGTGATAAGATAATTAGCCGACGACTCATTGTTACCGAGACATTAAACACAATGAGTGATCAATGAGTCCAAAGAGGGCTTCCCTGTGTGATAATGTCTGCTGATCAAGCGTTGAGTTCATCAGATAGATTGTCATGCCAAAACGACGAGGGAGCAACCTGCTGAATCACACGACTACATGATTTCCTCATCCATAAACACATGGCTGTCTCACGGGAGTCGTAGACCCTCTGGGTGCTTATTTTCTAAGAATGTGGAAGATTTTTGACGAACAGCTACAGTGAGATAATAAATCAGCATTAGCATCTGACTGTTGATGTAACTTTTTATGAAGGGGGGCTTTGCCTTGGTATGTTTAGAAGGGGTGCATTTGAAAACTGATGTATTTCTACATTTTGTTGGGGCCCCAGGCTGCCTTTTGGCCATAGTTAAAAAAAACTTGCAATGCTTTGCACTACTTGTAGACAGAATTCCAACCTTACCTGTATGTGTGCGAATGTGGCCACGGAGCAGCCAGGGCCTGGAGAACGCCTTCCCGCAGGTGGTGCAAACACAAGGTAGGGTGTGTGAGCGGATGTGCATCTTCAGTGCGCCCAAGCTGGTATACTCTTTGGGACAGTGTTTGCAGAGGAAAGCCGGCCTAGCAGCTGTAACGGGGGTCTCTCCTCTTTCCTCTTCTTCTTCAGGGGGGCTGACGTGAGCCATAATGCCGGTGCACTTCATCCTCTGGCGAGGGGCGTATGTGATGACAGGTTCTGGGCTGGGGGGGTCGGAGGTACGACCCTCATCTTCCTCTCCGCTGCTGCTGGCACTGCTGCTGAGGCTGCATGGGGAACTCAGGTCCAGGGGGCCTGAGGTGCCAGAGGGATCTGAAAGGGTTGAAGGCAGATAGAGTGCAGGGAGGACGCTCAGGTCCCACACCAGACCTGTGGGGAAGCAGGTGGAGGTGCTGTCTGTTGATGGTACTTCAGCTAGAGGATAGGTCTCCATTGAAGCATCTGGGAGTAAAAAGGGAGAATGGTTAGGAAATAACAAAATTGAAACTAATTAAATTTAAACAAGCAGTTTAAAAATAGGTTTTCACTTTATATATCAAACAAAGACACTATCCCTTGGTCTTATTTGGTGTGGGGTTAGATGACAAACTTCCTCTTTATTAGATGAGCATAAAATAAGAGCCATATGGGAAAGTTCCAGGGCCGTTTCCTCCCACGTATTCACAAGAGTCTGTAACATGAATGGAGCTCTGTCTCTGCAGAAAGGGGGGAAAGTGCATCTAACGGGCCCTGACTTGATCAGGGAGTCGCCTCTTTCGGAGCAAACGCTGCCAAACTTTTTTCAGAATATTGCAACAGGTGAACCACTTGACTGTTATTCACATATTATAAGAATAAACCGCTTCAGAACTCACCATTCTGACATTCCAGTTCACTGTAGTTTGGTTTTTGTTTAGCGAAATACGTCTTTACCAAGAAGGAACGAGGCATTGTCCTTTTTTTGATTTTAAGATCTGTGCGTAAAAAGAACCTGCGGTCACGACGCAGCGCTTCTGGGAGTTGAAAAGAGCAACAGTCCTTGAAAAAAAGACAGTAGAAAGATCCTCCTTTTGATCCAAACAAGGTGGGATGGATATCATCGACTGAGTTACATGTAAAGCTCCTCTGCTGAGTGACTAAATACTGGCCTCTGTTCTGAAATACTCCAACACAGCCAAGGAGGAGTGTGCTCGCCCGGAGGGCCCCTCCCCACACAACTGCATATCACTGCTCAGAAGTTTGGGAAGAAGCCTCACACATTTCACATCACCAAAAAAACACCAGCTAACACATTTAACACATGGATAGGAGATAAGAGCACTTTAATAGTTAGTCATTTCCCACCTTTAATTCACTATTTAGGTCAATCTAAAATAAGAAATCTACCCAAACTTTGGTATCACTAAATATGTTAAGCCGACCTAAAATCACACTGTTGTTTTTTTTTTGTTGTTGTTAGTTAGTTAGTTAAAAAAAATCAATAACTTTGGTAATTTGTCCAGTTAAACAGTTAAACATGGCTGCAAACATTCCCATCATTACTAAACGTAAACAGATTTCTGTGGAGAAATTGCTCCACCTGCTGGATGAAAGTTTGCACTGCTGTTTTTAGTTTGGCGCTGGGGTGCAGCTGATGGGGGTCAGCAGAAAATGTTTTGTTGTTGTTTATTTTTTAATTATAGCTTTAAGAAATTCAAAAGTTAAACTGAGAAGAAATATGTTTGTGAAAATATTTTGATGTGATTTATGGAAGAAATTATCCCAAGAGAGAGAATAATACAACTACAAGAAAGCAGAATGGTGAAAAGTGCTCCATGTTATGCAGCAAAATTAAATACTTACATGTGCTGTATTAAACGCAAAGGCAAAAGAATATAATTCAATTTTCTAGTTCTCAAGTATAGCATCTCTAAAGTGAGACTTCCTTTTGGGAAACCGGATAGAAATCTTGTTTCTTTCTGCTCAGAGTATAAGCTACTTTACAAGACAGGACCTGTATTTAAAAAGAACTGTAAGAAGGTGGTCATAGAAAGCTGAAGAAGCATTGCAAAGTTGTTTTGACGCTACAGACTCGGATGCACTGTGTCAGCCACATGGAGAGGACGTCAATGCAATCACTGAGTGTGTGACTAACTACATAAACTTCTGTGTAAATAAAACCATCCCTAACAGAACAGTGAAATTCTTTCCAAATAATAGACCATGCATCACAAGTGATCTGAAGCAACTACTTAACGAGAATTTAAGAAGGGAGACAGGGAATTACTGAGAATTATACAGAAACAACTTTAGATCAAGATAAATGAAAGCAAGGAGGCATACAGGAAGAGGCAGGAACCCAAGCTCCAACAGAAATATATCAGAGATGTGTGGTCAGGGATGAAGATCACAGGCTTCAAGCAGAAGGATGATCAAACATATAGCTTGGGTTATTGATGATAGAATTGGGCCTATGTTTTTGTGTTTAGTCCTGTTTCTCTCCTAAATATAAGCATGGGCATAGCTTTTACTGCGTCTTACTGCATGTGCTATCTTATCCCTGTGACATGAAAACTGGTTTAGACTTAATCTGCTAACTCTTGCTTTCATAGAGATAGCCACCTTTTGAGCTAGTATACTGTTATATTTTCTAATATACAAAGTATTTATGGATCAGTGTTTCTATACTCCTTTTGTGTGTCTGCTTCTGTCATCTTGAACCCCCAGTCAACCTTGGCAGAAGACCTTTTACATGGAGTCTGGTTTTGCTGGAGGTTTCTTCCAGTTAAAAGGGATTTTTTTTTCTTCTCCACTGTCCCTGCATGCATTATAGGTGGGAGGGATGGCTTTAAAATCAACAACAAATTCAAACAATAAAAGACTTGATGCTATCAGCTGGTTTTCCTTAGAAACTTTTTTTTAACCAATCTAACTGTATGATCTGCTTGAATTGTGTCTGTGATTTGCCTTGAGGTGATGTGTATTGTTAATTGGCACTATATAAATAATCTGAATTGAATTTAATAATTTTCTTACCCTCTGACATTAAATCAAACTAAAATGTTCCAGTTCAGGAATATAATAAAACAAATAATTATGAAACCGAAGGTTTTGCTCTATCCGTTGGTTGTCAAAGAGCACTGTGGCATTTGTAGCTATAATGTAGCTTGCCACCATCAGCGCATGAATGGGTAAATGACTGAATATAGTGTAAAGTGCATTCCAGTTCTTGGAAAAATGCATGCCAGTGTCAGAATAACAAGGCAGGGAATACTTAAGTCATCTAATGTATTTCAAGTAACAACTCAAGTATAATGTTCATTTTGGTAATATACTATGATGTGATTGAAATAAATCAACCAAGAGCAAACTAATCTGAACTTCCAAAAATCTGTATCATCCCTATAAAAATTCCAGCTACATGCATTTGCCTCAGCCATACACCATAGTAATGACCAGCCATAAAACACATTATTTGTCCCAGAGATTAAACTGTTTTCATATGATATGTGCAGTCAATCAGTAGATAAGGGAAATAACTTTTGAAGGTGCTGTTTGATGCTGGTAAGAAACAAGCCCTGTGTCTTGATGGGGTGAATTGCTGCTCAGTGAATACATCCATATCCTAATAAATCCAACGAACAAATCCAACGATCTTTTTTTCACCAAGTGTTTTGTAAACATAATACTGTAAGGGGAATTATGGACTGCACTCTACTATTGTTTTGTTACATGGATAAATTTAATTCGAGCGTGAAGATATTGAAGTTCCAATTTTCCGAGGTTGTTGGAAGGCACCATTCAGAACACTCAAACTGAACGGCGGGCTCCATTCGCGAGCCCTGATTGGTCCTTTCCTCAGAGTGGGCCGATCCCTGTGGGCGGGGCTTCATTTGAAAAACAAAACAAGGCACCTAGAATTCGCCGTTGGATTGTGCGATTGTCCGAAAAACATAGTGAAAGGTCGCAATAAAGTTAATCAGAAAAGCTGAATCTAGGTAAGAAAACATTTTTTCTACGAGCTAATTTCAATACACGACAGACAGATGGCTGCATCATTTATCATCATTTATCATTAAACACTCAAAAAGCGGTCGCTGTCTGCTTAAAGTCGTTCAATCAGGCGGCGAGGAGAATTAACATGATTTATAGAGTTTGAGCTGTGTAATTTTATTAGAATTATAAGAAGCTGATCTGTTTGGTCAGATCTTCTTATCCAGATAGTCTATGATTTTTTATTCTTAAAACAACAGTCATACTCTGTCATATGAATGATGTTTCAAGTAAAATAGATCAGAAAAGAAGCATCTTTATTTTCTGGGGGAAAATCGGAAAGTGGTGTTTGAAATATAAATAAGCCCCGCCTTCATTTCTGCACACAGATGGAAAAAACAATGCCCGTTTTCTGTTAGTATGCTGCCTTTTCATTGAACTCTGTCGTCAGCAGCCAAACATTGAATAAAAAAAAAAAAAAAGAAATATGAAGAGAGAGATTTACGGAAGAGTATTAGGGCCATGCAAAAAAAAATAAAAAATAGTTAACAGATTTTAAAATATTATTTCAGTTTAATATGGGGGAAAAAGTCAAAATCTCGACTTTTTTTCTCAGAATTCTGAGATTAAGGTCAGAATTCTGAGAAATAAAGTCAGAATTCTAAAAAAGTCAGAATTATAAGAACAAAATTCTGAGAAAAAAGTCAGAATTGTAAGAAAAAAAGTCAGAAAGGTGAGATTAAAGTCAGAATTGTGAGAAAAAGGTCAGAATTCTGACTTTTTTCTGATATTATACTGAAATAAAACGTACATAGTTAACTTTTTTTTATTTTTTTCACTGGCCCTAATCCGCTTTTGTAGAGATTAGTGCTGCTTTGTCAGTTTATAAATGACGATGCACTTAACTATTTGTTTTGTTCTTTTTATCATTATTTGGTGCAGTTTGCGTCTATGTGAGATCGCAAGTCCTACAGCAGAAAACAGAAAAGAATCAAGTGAGGAGCAACAGGAAGAAAGAGTCATGTTCAGGACAATTGCTCGTCTCCTGTTCGGTGGGGAAGAGAACCCTGAAGAAGTCAAGCCTGGAGAAGTAGCTGTGGATGGTTGGCTTGTTGTCAACCATGAAGGTAGGACAAGTAGAATAATATCAGGTTATGAGGTTGAAATTAATATTAAAATAAGCTAATCATTTTTTTAAGTACTATAAACCTATGAACCCAGTGCCTTGCAAATTATCCAAACCCCTTGAAGAGAATTTTATTTGCCTTTTTTACATGTTGTCCTGCTAACAAAGTACAGCCTCAGACTTTTATGTAGGTTTCTAGTATGGAATGTGAAAAAGAATAATGGCTTGATTAAACTATAGGGGGAAAAACAGCAAACAAACATGTTGAAAGAAAGCTATAGGAAGTCATTTACAGTTTTCCACAATTCATCTAAGAAACACAGCAAACAAAGGGAAACTGTGCCAGGTTAAGTTGAAATGAAAATTGGACATTTCAGTATAGATCTAAAATGTTATGTGAGGAGAAGAACTTAAAGTTTAAATCACCTGAACGCACCATTACCTGTGGGAAACACAGTGATGGCAGCATCATGCTGGGGGGAGGCTTTTTTTTTTTTACATTGTTTACAGAACTTTGCCAGAGTTGTTGGATAGAAGTGACAGAGCTAAATAAAGAACTATGAAAAAAAACATAGAAAGAGGATGGCTAAACACACACACCACTATGATGACATTTTTTATATCAAAACCTATTTTTTTATTATTATTATTATATTATCAATAACTTTAGAACTACCACCTTTTTTGTTCTTGTCCTGAAATTCTGAATTTGAAACGTGACCAAATGTGAAAAAGTTCAAGGACTTTTCCTGCCTTTTAACTGCAGTCAAATAGACTAATCTATAATGAGACAATAAAACATTCCCATTCCCTCTCCTAACATTTTGAGTGCTCTCTGTTTATGATCAGATTGCCATTTTGTTTTTTTCTTATTTCTTTTGTTTAAACAGAAAACAGCACACCCTTATGTAATGAATGCTCATTTCACCGTAGAACGAAGCAGATTAAACAGCAACACAGTTGCATAACAGGTTTGCTTGTGTTTTTTTATCAGAGGCAGGTGGATGTGAGAACCAGGATGCCCTGCTGGCTGCAGCACAGCAATCTAACACCACTTCTCAAGAAGACGCACCTGCAGACACAGAAATGAACAGGTGTGACTATGAGGTTCTTCTGTTTTCTTTTTCAATTAAATGATTTTTGCAAGAGACACAAAGAGAACATTTTTAAAGATATGAGTTCATGCTGTTTTTCTGTCCCACCCCCTATATTTCCTGTCTGTCTATCCAGCGTCTTGCATTCAGAGCCCACCATTCCTCCCAGCAGCTCTTCAACCAGTCGGCCTGTGGCTAGCTATGTTTCCCAGCCTAAAGCTGTGGCAGAGCTGACCCAGGTCACTTGTGCCCAGAAGGCTAAGGCCTGGGCAGAGCGTCGTCATGCATCTCGCAACGCCCTCCAACGGCAAAACAACGGCCACCAAATAGTGCAACAACACTCCTTCCACCTCCAGCAGCCAGGGCATCGCAGCCTCAGCCACTGAGAACCAGCTCGCCGATCTTATATTACTTTTATTCCTGAATAAACACACAGCTCTTTTACTTTAATACCCACAATTCTAACTCAATAAAACATTATTCTATTGAGTAATGGGCAGCTAAGTTGTTATTTTAACTTATATACAGGACTAGTCCTTATAGAAGAAATAAATGTGTTCTCCTCTCACTGTGAAGAAAGATGTACAACATTATTTTTTGATGGATATGTTTGCATATTAGTGGATAAAAGAAGTGTCACCTCTACAATTTTTTTGTGTGTGCATGCATTCAGTTTTTTGTTTCATTCAATAAAACTTTTGGTCAGTTTCCAGAAACGGGAATGGTTTGAGTCCCTTTCTCTGTTCACTCTAAAGGATCTCCTCATGTCAGCTTTTAAAGAAATTTAAATGAAAGTTCAAGAAAAAAATTCACATTAACAGTTTAAGAATATTTCAGTATGGCTTCAGTCTTTTGTATTAAGTTTTTATTAAACTTTTCAAATGATTTGTACATGCAAATATTTATAATTTCTAAATAAAAGAACACAGTATACTACTAAAAAAGACTTACTCTGGGGACAGGATTTGCACATTTATGTCTCAAACATTGGTATTACATGCAAGAAAGAAAACACTACCCAAAGAAAAGAAATCGGTATGTATGAGCTATCAATAACTTGGTAGTCCAATAGGAATCCTTATTTACCTTTATGTTGGGGTCACCACCTCCCCATCAGTGCTACCTAACCTGTTAAGCATATATTCATAGGATGCAGTTTCTGTCATTGCGGCTCACTGATGCCTTCAAGTGTCTCAGCATTACTTAGCAAGATGTTGATGCACCAACTGAGATGGCCTCAGACGTTTTAAGATGATGTGTAAGTAAGTGTTTTCCTGTAAAGATGCTTTAAAAGTGGCAGTACTGACCACATTTCTTACATAAAAAAAAAAAAAAATATATATATATATATATATATAGTCTTTGGGAAACTTCCCATCCGATTCCTCTCTTTTACAATATCCGTTTCCCTCCTTTGTTCTCCAATTGTTTTCTTCCTTGTATCCTCCAGGCTTTTTTATTTGATTTTTTCTCTCTTATTTTTATTCATTCCTTCTTAGTTGTGTTCCATCGTTCCTTCCTTCCATGTTGTCCTACCCTGCCCTTTGCTCCTTGTTTTCCCTAAATCATTATCATTCTTTGTTTTTTCTATAGGACACAAGGAATGAATCCAATAACTATTCCATTATTATGCAATCTGTCTTTCCGCTTCCCTTTATTCCCTCTTTCCTGCTCCCTAAAAACTATATATACATAATATTTTAAACTTAACAAGAAAGACTAAGAACTAAGAAGAAAAATATAAAGAAGTCCCGAATCCACTCCTCCATGAACTATTTTACCAACAATTCTTTGTGATTAACAAACCACATAGTACTGTATAAGTGGGCATTTGTCATTATTGTGGTAAAATCTGAATCGTCGAGAGACAATTTCATATGTCATGCAAATCTTGCCACTTCATTCGCCTTGCTGGATGACAAATGCTCCACACCCATCAGGCATCTACCAATGTGACACACTGAGCTAATTTCTTTGGAAGTAGTTGCACCTGCTGTGTACAATTACTGCCAAAGTGGGTGTGTACACCACAACTTGTGTGCAACAAGAAATTTTGTTTTTATTTTCACTAGCTCTGCTGCATAGGAACGCAGTAAAAATGAATGTATCTGCTGAAACCAAACTTAAAAAACACTTAACATCAAGTTACAAGAGCTTTGGGAGTTCATCTGAGCTGACTGATGGTTCATCAGATGGGTTAACAAAAAAACATGTTGAGGGGGACCAGCTGCAAGGTAAACAGAAGAGATATTTTGTCTGTTTGACAAAAATGACTAAAATCACTGGCATGAGGATCAATTTCATATCATAAAAGATTGGATTTTTTCCCTTTCTGCTGCTACAGATCCTGTTCCATTGAAAGAGCTGTCATCTGGTAGCCAAGAACTATTTTACTTGACCGAACTCAAAGAAACAGAGGAGGACTGTTGCACCTTGGACACACCAGTACATATACATGCTGTACCTTTCATCTTTGCTATCGGAGTCACCATTGCTTTGATCATAGAGATAAACCTTCTGCCTCTGGTGCGTAGTGCCTCATATTCTTTGCAGCTCCACTTCGACTGCATCGGTTTATCCCCACAGTTTCTCCACAGGTTTTCACTAAAGGTGTAGTATCTGACCATGAGCTTTGTACGGCACTTTGTGAGAAAGTACTACAAGATGGTGGGTCCAGTGTAGATGCAGCAATCGTTGGAGCTCTCTGCTTAGGCATTGTGCATCCCCACGTGTCTGGTGTTGGAGGGTAGGTGACTCTTCTATATCCTTTGAAATATGTGTTTGATTGTAAATAATCAGAGTATCTCTGTAGGGGAGGGGTGATGTTGGTCCATAACGCCCGTCAGAATCGAACCAAGGTGATAAATTTTCAGGGCTCTGCACCTAAAGCTCTCACAGAGAATATGGTACAGAATGTTTCTGACGTTAAGGTAAATCCAACCTTAAATGTGTGGGGAAATGTCATTCAAGTTTATTGGGATGGCCTGTGAATACCAATCCTTTTTTCAGGAAGGTCTATCTGTGGGAGTTCCAGGGATGCTCTTGGGGTTGCACCGTGCTCACCAGATGTACGGAAGGTGAGCTCTACAAAGCGGGGTTTCTTTTTCTTGTTTTTGGAATCTTTAAGAAAGACATGTTACCTTCTGATTCCCTGCAGCTTATCATGGAACAACATTATTAGCAGAGCTGCAGATTTAGCCAGAGAAGGGTTCAATGTTTCTCAGAGTCTTGGTAAGTCAAATGTTCCCCTCCTTAGACCTGACCCCTCAATACAACACGAGTTCATGTTGGAGAACTTTAATCCTTTGACTTTGCCTACAGCTTCTGCAATATCTCAGTTAGAGGCAGATAAGATAGAGGGACGAATCAGGGACACTTTCATCCCTGATGGTCAGGCGTTGAGATTTGGATCCTACATTAGGAGGCCTGATTTGGCGGAAGTTCTTGAAACTGGTGTCAGATATTTTTACCAAGGGGCCATATCAGAAGAGATAGAGAAAGAGGTAATATTAACATTTAAAAGTTCTTGCTTTAAAGGAGGAAATAAGTGTTTTCCACACAAAGGTGCAAGCAAATGGAGGGGTCCTGAACCGAGAGGACATTCGTAACTACAGTGTAGAGGTCCAACAACCATTGGAAAGCCAGTACAATGGTAAAGAGTCCACTGATGGTCAGAATAGCCCAGAAAAATGGTATTTATATTATCCAAACTTCATTAACCATCTTTAATTTTTCTTCTAGAGCATATAATCAAAGTTCCCCCTCTGCCATCTGCTGGCGCTGTCCTGATTGCAGCTCTCAATCTCCTTGAGACTCTCCATCTCTGGGAAAATGATGTCACAGAAAATCAAACTTCCCGCTGGATTGATGCGGTACTAGAATTTACAGGTGATCGGGCAGTTTGCCCATTCACCTACTTGAAACTTTTTAAGTTGAGACCAAAACATTTGGGATTAAAATAACCCAGATGTGGTGGTTTCATACCAGCCGTGGGTCAGTTTGTACCCATTCCGATCACTTTGTTATATTTGGTTTTATTTGAGGTCATCATCTGAGTTTCAAAAGTCCAATAGGCCAGAATGGGATCAGAATCAAAATTAAAGGAAGAAAATCTTCAGAGTCAGATGAAAGAATGGAAATCCTTGTTCAATTGCAATTTTTAAGGTTGGAGGATATTTGATAAATGATTTACGTTATTCCTAAATGATGCTTGATTGGCAAGATAAAGAGTAGGGTGAATTGTTTACAGGGCATCAGTCGGCAAAGATGCAAACTGACCTGCAGTTAATTTTTTTTTCACCATGTTACTTAATTCAAATATTCTATAATTTCATGATGACCAATTCATTATTAACTGGGCCGTTCTCTTGTTTTGTTTTCTAAACACAAAGGCTTTGTTAACAGCTTCAGCTTTGGTCAGTGAGCTGGGTGATCCCCAATTCAACTCTTCGGTGATTGACCACCTTTCTGCATTGATTAGGTAAAATGCAGCCTCTTTCACTTGGACTGAAGCTAATGGTCTGAGCTAGACAACTACTAATTCTTTATCTCCTATTTCGATCGAAATACAATGCAGAGGACATATTGCCCGGTGATTTGCTTGCAACAGAAACAATGGTGTGCAAAATATAATCAAAGTATGGATTTAATTTTTCCCAGCAAGGGTCAAGCAGCAGGGCTGCAGCAAAGGATGAAGGACGTTCTCCAACTCCTCTATGCCTCCAACTCGACTATCCACCCTTTCCTAACAGAGCAGCTGACGGGACAAGTCGTAATCATGGGACCGGATGACCTCATAGTGTCTGTTGCAAGGTGATGGTGTTTCTGTGTGATGCTGTTCAAGCCTGCAGGATATGTGTGGTATGAACTGCAGGGCAATGTTACATTCTTTTCCTGTTAGTCACCTTGACAACCTTGCAGTTCCTTGAACAGGCCGTTTGGGAGCAGGATCATGACAGAGTCAGGAATTATTCTCAACAGTCTTATTTTGGACTTCTTCTGGCCAAATCAGAGGAGCGGGCTACTGGAGTCTAACCAGGTGGAGCATCAACCCAGCTGTTAATCAGTAATTTGACCCTGCAATCTTTTTTTGTGTCTAAAAAGAAAACTGATATTCCTATTGGTGATGCAGAACAATGTTTTGGAGCCAGGAAAGAGGCCTTTGACATTCCTCATGCCAGCAGTGATGGTTCCGACCTGGAACAAGTGTGGCACCTACATGGCTCTGAGTAGTTCAGGTGGAACTAATCGCTTGAATGAAGTCACAAAGGTTTGTTCAGACTGTTTAATCTATTTTATAAATGAATCTGATTTCAAACAAACTAAAACTAATTAAACTATTTCCTTCAGATGTTGGTAGATGTCCTGTTTCTCCATAAAGAGAGCAATGGCACAATGTTATTGGGGGGATCGTCGCACCAGATTTCTCGCTGTAAGGACGATGTATTTAAAAGCTAACACCTGACTTAGTTTTAAGCATTTTTAGAGTAATTATTTTCTTCTCTCTATTTTTCTGCCATCCAGAGTTTCCAGTAAAGATTGTAGCTTCTGCATGCAGTGTGATATCTAGTTAAGCCTAAACATTTCTGTTAAATGTGCTCAATAAAAATATCAGTGAAGCTAACATGTTGACCTTCTTTAATATTGCTTTTAACTCTTTAACATTTCTACTCTACAAGTAAAAGGCCAGGTTTCCAAGGTCGAAGTTTTATCCCCATCTAAAGTGGGGCATGCATTTCTTTTCCAGCCCCCTTAGTCCACATGATTTAGAACTACCCTTCCCTGTGGTTATGGCTGCAAGTCTTTTGGTCTTTCCCTCCACCAGCTTTGTACATCTATCTGATATAGTGAAGTTATTTTTGCAGAAAGCTCAGGTAAGTCAGAGTAGAGGAAAAGTGCCTTTTCTTACGTCATAGATTTAGGACTGTTTTTCTCCCAGATTTTGCCCTACAAATAGCTCTATCATTTTCCCATCAACACTAATCCCTTTTACTGTTTGTGCTGAAGATAAGCATCCAAAGAATGACACTGCCTCCACTGTGTTTCCTTCTGAGGATCGTGTTATCAAACCTTTTTGCATTAAAACATTTTATTGGATCAAGACCATAAAGTTAAATTCTGGTGTTTTTATTCAAGAAGAATACATTCCTCCATAATGGCTGTATCCCCTATATGGCTTGTAAGACCTTTCTATGGTATTCTTTCAGTAATGCCTTTAATCTTATCACATCACAGGACAGATTTATGGCATGCAAAACTGGTTTCCTCACATGTGTCATCATTTTAGTACCTGTAGCATTTGCTAGCTTTCTGGTTAATGCTTTCTTCGATTTTCCCCAATGGTGAAGCTTGGTCATTCTGTAAACTAATACTGCTTTGAACACCTCCCTCACCTTTCTGCTTGTTCTCTACTGTACTCTAACACGGTTCAGAAGAATTCAGAAGTCCTTCTCAAAACTTCTGTATTACTGAGCTTAAATGACTCTAATTGGGACTTCTCCACTAATACCTATGGACCACAGCACAACTCCACTCTACTTAGCTTTTCCATTAGTGACAGTAGCTGCATTTCCATTAACCTTCAAATTGTTCTAATAGTGTTTACATTGTAATGTAAACACTATTAGTAAATGATGTATATTTTTTTGTTATGTTTTGTTTTATTTTTTTATATTCTTTATTTTTTTATTATGTTTTCAAGCTTCGAAAGGGTGTTTTTCTTTTCTTTTTTTTTTGGCAGCATAAAAATGCTCTTTTGCAATACTGCAACTGACACATTTTTTTCACATATCACACGTGTCCTGATTCTATAACCGGACCTTGCTGCCTTGTGCAAAGATGAAAAAAGATCGGAAGTAGTTGAAGAATGATGGCGCGGCATATCCGGATCCATGAGGAAACTGGATATTTTTCACATTTAGTTTGTGACAATGAGCACCAGCGCAGTGACTGAAATATGGATATGTATAGCATGTTTACATCCGCAGCTGCATTGCTGTTATCACATGAATACACACACATTCAAATGCAATTTTAATTGTGACTAATATTTAATGGAAATTCCAAGATTGCAGAAATTTACATTTTTTTTGAATTAGAACAGTGACATAGCTTTGTGCACATTTGTAATAGAAATGAAACTAAGTTCTTTGGACCCGCTGCTTCCTGTGCAACTTCTTGTCTGGGGTTTGCATCACCAAAATGACTCAGTTGATGGCTGAGCATACCAAGTATAGTATAAATATACCATGGGACCTCTGCATTATGTCGTCTGAGGTTGTGCACCCCTTGGTGTTTGGCCCGTCTTGGGTTGGATTCCGGGTGCTCTTGTCTGCCCTTCTCTGGTGGGTGCAGCCATCCCAGTGTCTGCCCTCCTTGTGTCCCATTGATCATGGGTGCCTTTGGATATCCGGGTCTTGTAATGTCTTCTTCTGTCCTGGGCCCTGTAGGGCAAGCCTGGGGCTGGCCACACCTGCTATTAAGCACATTTTCCTTTTGAAGAAGCTTTGTAAATCCTAGTGATGTCATGAGATGAGCCGAGGCTTCGAGGCGTGTGTCGAGTAATGGAGGGGGCGTTTCCATGAAGCGCACGTTGAGCCGTGATTAATTTAGGGTAGGGGCCAAAATTGATGACGTCTGAAGCTTCGCTACCGTGATACCACGTGACTGCTTCAGGAAGTGGTTCAAAAAGCTCAAGAATTTCAACAGGCAATTTCAGCAGCCTCAGTATTCAGTCAAGATGTAGGAGATTGTAGAAGAGTTGGTGTCAGTTGGATAGAGTTTGGATAGATTCTAAAAAAAATTTTTTTTCCAACCAAGTTTGGTGAAGTGTTTTAGTTAGATTAAACGATGTAATGATCAAAATCTGAGCAAGCCACCGGACACAGTTGTAACCTTAGTGTTAAGTACTATTTCTCTCCATTAAATAGTTAATAATGTTAGTGGCATCATCTGTAAGACAATGACTTCCACTTCTAAGGTTGATGGTTCAAGACCTACCTTTGACTTTTGAAGGTTGTGATTAAACTAAGTATTTTGGCTAATGAGACTTATTTGTATTGGTTTGCCATAGTAATATATTCTATAAAAACACTGCCAAATTAGATTGGCAGGTTTAGCCAAAAGATTGGTTGAACACATAACTTCCAACCCGATAAAAACCAAAAACTGTGGAAAAATGATTGTTTGAATAAAAATGACTAATCCCTTTCAAACCATTCATTTTGCTCATCATTGTCCAATTTTCACAAACACTGTATTTTACTAAAATGGCAGAGAAACAGTGTACCTTAAATTATTGTTCTCTTCTAAGACATTTTACACTTAAAAAAAACCTGCAATCATTAACAATTTCAAGGGAACTTAAAATGGAAAAAAAGAAAAATGACTGCAATAAAAAAAAGAAAAAAATCTGATTTTATTACAACCTTTTGTGATGCACTACACCAGTAGGTGGTGACATGTTCATATGAGGCTTCATGAACTGTGGGGATCGTTAAATGCCTTATGAGGCTTCACCTCAGCCTCACTTTTAAATCCTCTATTCAAGAGCATTCCTGTGCTTACATACCATGGGAGTTTGGTTCCAGGTGTTCACAGACGCACAATAATACTAAGCTGCAGCTACAGGTATATGCATATACCACCCTGAATAATATTGTGTAATCATCATGGGTTTGCCTTCCACACACATGGAAATCTAAGGGATACCTGCTGCTCTGAAAGCTTTTTTGATGTTTACTTTGGTTGTTGTCTTCTATTTGCTGTTTTTCACTGTTTGGTTCCTTCTCGTCACATACAGGTATGGAAGCAGACTTCTATGAGTTGCTGTATATCTTCTGTGTTGTCTTTCTGCTGTTTTATTTTCTGTTTTTGCATGGAGTTTGTATGTTCTCCCTGAGCATGCATGGGTTCTCTCCGGGTACTCCGGCTTCCTTCCACAGTCCAAAAATATGAATGTTAGGTTAATCGGCTTCTCTAAATTCTCCTTAGGTGTGAGTGTGTGTGTGAATGGTTGTTTGTCTCTTTGTTGCCCTGCAATGGACAGGCGATTTGTCCAGGGTGTACCCCACCTCTCGCCTGTAGACAGCTAGAGATAGGCTTGGGAGAACCATGGCAGAAAATGGATGGGTGGATGGATTTTCTCTTTTCATGAGCTCTTTCCTGTCTCTCTATTTCTCTCTCTCCCCTTAGTTCTTATTCCCTATTTCATTTCCATGTCCTGTCCCTCTCAGTGTCCATTGCAAAGGATTTTGCTCCCTAAATAATTTTTGATAATGTTTCACATACGTACCAAGCAGAACCTTATGGTAACAACCATAAAGGTCTGCTTGTGAAAGCCAAGCTGTTTGGCTATCATCCAGCTCTGTGACATCGGTTCCCAGCGCTTTAAAGGCAAAACAGGACACATTTCAAAATAAAAAGCATATCAAACCAAAAGTTTATATAGCTAATGGATCATGTTGTTTTTTTCCTTTTTTATATCCCAAATGTTTGCAATAGGTAAGAAAAAAACATTCCTAAGCTACAAAAATTAGATTAAAAGCTGAGAAGACAAGAATAATGCTATATCTGCAGCAACACAAACCCTCTGAACACAGTTCTGATGCAGACCCCAAGAAGGTATCCAAATCTGCTGCTTTCTGGGCCCGTAGTTGGATTCCTTAAGAACATACATTTGCTGAAAGTTGTGTGTTGTTGCTTCAGAGCTGTATGCAAAACATTTCAAACCACTGCAGTAAAATCCCACTGTTGGGTCTATGAAATGTCAGTCTGTAGCACTGAATTTGCTCCAGGACAGGCATTCTTCATTCTTGCATGTTTTTTTTGTGTTTCACACAAATCATATCCTTTCACTTTTTAACTACCTAGCTATGAAGACCCCGCCCACCTGGTGCTACTAAGCAGTGAAGAAAAACAACCCAGACCATGTGGTGTCAAGCTGAGGGCAAGACTGTACAAATAGAGAAAACAACCACAACACATAACTTCTGAAGTTGGTTGCACTGTATCTAATTTAGAGGTAACAAGGGGAAAGGAAATGGAATTTTAAGAGATGCTGCACTTTTCAAATATTTAATTAGACAAAATTTTGCCTACTACTGTACTGAATTAAAATCTGCTTTCCCTATCCACGCAAAGTTCTGTCATCTAAGACTAATGACCTTTAGCCAAAAAGAAGACAAACCGGTTCACTCACGTTGTGTTAAAGTTGCAACTCCTTGCGTGTGACTTCCTATACTTTTCAGGGATAAAATTTGTGATTAAAAACTTGATTCTGGTGCCTGTTAAGGAGACGAGCCCCTATGTGTGCTAATATTGAAGTAGATAAGAGCTTTTATGTAAAACTGATCTAAAGTCAAGATCCTGTCACACATGCATGCTGACTGCGTCATAAAGAACAGATGGCATCCTGTCTTCCTGACACCAGTCTGTGTTTCATATTGTAGACTTCATTTGATTGAAAATATAAATTTCTTTAAATATCCAGAGAAACTTTGTTGCCGGGTGAATTTCAGTTGAATGTAGAAGCCAGAGCTAATAAAGCTGCAGTTTCTGAAAAGAATACAATGTTATA